AAATCTTACACTCACTATTTTCTTCGAAAATATATATGAGTGTCAGAAAAACTGATTTATAAGTTAATATTACGCATTCACTTTTTTTTTTGTCTTTGAGCATTACAATGATTAGATAAAAATGGATCGCAGGATTTTTCATTGTCGATAATTTCCACGAATACATCGTAGTAAGATACAATGATGAAATATAAAAAGTACGTTTTTTATATCTTTGATCTTTCTAAAACGAATTAACAAACTTTCAATGAATTTTAACTTGCATATATCTGTGTGACTATGCGAGTTCGAAAACCCAAAATTTTGTATTGAGTATATCTAGATATCCAGTATACACACTAACAATATCAGTTTATTTCATTGAAGAAACATAAGCAAACAATATTTCTTAAGGAAATAAAAACAAATAAAATATCATTTATGTCATCGAAAAATGTTTGTAGAAATCAAGGAATTGGTCTGCACACTTCTCCAGTAGAACACAAATATCGGATTCAAGATAAAGGTATGCTGGAATATAATTTTCAAAAGGCAACAAAAATAAATTACGTCGATGTCATGTCGTCTTAATCTTCAGAAGAAACAGATAGAGAAAAAGACAGGAGATAAAAACATCGTTGTTTCTAGCCGCTTCGCACTAGAGATGCAAGCTTCGCATTGATAATTTTCTTGTTCTATTTTCGACTCTGATTAGGAAAACATTAGTGAAAGATTGATATCACTTGTCATTAATAGTCTCAAACTTGGCCTTAGATATTTCATGTCTTACCATCAGAGAGAGGCACATTACTAAAAATGTCAAACTCTCAAGATAAAAGCTATCTAATAAGTTTTGATTGCGTTCTGTAGTAGTATTTTCTTATATGTTTCTTCAGTGAAGCAGACTGGCATTAGTAGTATGTATACTAACTGTCTAGATCTACTCAAAACTCTTGCAAATCGATTTTTTTTGAAAGGCTAGAAGAAAAAAATGTGCATCAATCATTACATATTCGCTCTTTAGATTATCCGTCACTTGTCTTCATTGACTCGAACGTTTTCCATCATTTACTCGGATGTTTCTAAAGTATATTTTTCCCATTCTTGCATTAGTTGAGTTTCTCCTCTTCATTTTGAAACAAGCTCGACAATTACGCAGTGTGAAACAAATAAAACAATAAAAGCCAATGTATAAGTTCATATTATGCGTTCAGTTTTCTTTTGTCTCAGAACACTACAATGGTCAGATAAAAACAGATCGTAGCATTTTTCTCTGTTTATAGATGCACGAATAAATTTTGAAGAATACAATAGTGAAATAGAAAAAGTATAGGTTACGTGTAGCATATCAATGATTGAATATCTAGAATCGTTTTTTTACGTAAGAAATTTTCTTTTTTTTTGTAGTGATAGAGAAAACGACGCTCTATTTTTCTGTGCTATTTGGTCACTATTGAACGAATATCGTAATAATAAAAGTACGATAAGAACTTGTACTGTAAAATGTAACGGTTGTGTTAATTATATTTGAAAAAAGAAAGCCGAATATTTTTTGAATAACTTTTCATAGGAATAAGATAGAGAGCTGCAATTTTCACTGTTCGAAAGAAGAGATAAAGATGCATCGAATCGTGAATAACAGGTCTTCCAAATATGGTGTCTGAGGCTTGTCTAATCAATTTTCTAAGTGTCCAAAAATTGGTTTTTATTTAAAAAGCAAACAGCAAAAACAAATTTCTCTACAAATGGTGCTAGAAAAACCACGTATACTATCGACTAAGACACTTATAACTGTTGAAAACTTAATTTCAAACATAAAAACTTAATGCAGTTTTGTAGATCTTGCATTCACGGTTTATATGCACACCTGACAATTAAAAAGTCGCTGTTCACACCTCGCGAAATAGATTTAGTTTCAAAGAGATCGATTGAAAACTTGAAAAAAATCAGGCCGAAAATCTCTGAAGCATATCAATAGATGCATTTTCATCTTTTCTCTCCAACAGTGAAAATCACAGCTCTTTATCTTGTTCCTATGAAAAGTTATTCAAAAAATACTCGGCTTTCTTTTTTCAAATGTAATTAGCACAACCGTTACATTTTACAGTACAAGTTCTTATCGTACTTTTATTATTACGATATTAGTTCAGTAGTGATCAAATAACATAGAAAAATAGAGCGTCGTTTTCTCTATCACTACATAAAAAAAGAAAATTTTTTCAAGTTTTCTTTACAGAAATAAGATAATGGCGCCACTACTTTTGGATTGCCCTAAATAATTAACAAAGTTTTAATGAATTTTATATGACTTAAATCTATGTGACTATGTTAGGTAGAAAGTTTAGATTCTAGTGGTGAGTAGATCTAGGCATTTAGTATATTTAATGTCAACACCAATCTTGTTTATTGCAAACAATATATAAAAGAAATTAATAATTACTTGAAAGGATTAAAACTTTCCAGACACCTTTCAGGAATAGAAGTTTCAGTATAGAAATAAGGATTTCAGCTATAAATATAAGGGAGTGGACGTTGTTATAAAGAGTAAAATATCGGAGTAATGACTGAGCAATTGAAATAAAGTTATAGGGCTAAGTAAGTAGGACTAATGTTATTTACTTAGGGTTAACAAAAAGTTCTGATAACCTTGAATATTAATATAAAAATAAAGAGATTCTTTTAATTTGATTTTATTAAATGTTTAAGATAGTATTGATGATTATTTATACAAAGTCCAATTCTGGCTAACAATTAGTTAAAAATTTTTTTGAATTCATTTTCTGAAATATTTGTTACTACCTTGGAAACTGTATGAGTGAATCATAGTTCATTGATTTAACTAGTTAAACTACGTTCAATATATTTACTTAGCCAAAGATGACATAGTGTCACTTCTGGCGAATATAACGGATGTGACATTATTTTGATGTCCTCTTCTATTAAATAAGTAATAATATTCGATGAGTACGAAGTCACTAATGATCATCAAGCAATTGTGTACTTTTTGCATCTGATGTCTCTGTTTGTTTCCATATTTCGTCAACAAAAGGCTTCAAACCGGTTTCGACATAATGAGCGTAGTAAATAATCCTACCTGTTTCTACACTATATAAAAGAACAGGACCATTTGATTTATAGAGTATACAAAACAAAGCATTCGGTTCAAAACTGTCCTGGCGAAGAGCAGCCGTTAGCAAGTCATATTCAAAAATTCAGCTAGTATTAGTTGACTTACAGCCAATCTGTCTATACTAAATCCACGACCAGTGATCTGTGACAATACTTCTTAATCTTCGTGATCCATCACGACATATGGCTGAATCTTCGCTAGAAGTTCTAACTAATTCCTATCAATATTCATCACTACGTAAATGAGTTACCCAACATACTATGCCTTTTCTCATGTTTAGACAATTTTGGATAATTTGTTCTATTGTACTGTTATACAGAGAAGTCTCAGCTACAACCTCGTCAGAAGTTGAATATGGATCATTTTTGATAGCCAATAATACTAATTCAATATTTACATTGATAAACTCGGAAACTGGAAAATCAAATCGATATCCATCATTCACATCTTCTCTTCTTTCACGCAAACAATTCGTCCATCTTCCAGCTATTGGAAATGATGGTGCGTTAGGCCACAATATTGTTGTAAGATCCTCGTGAATTGTCTTTACATCTACTCCAAAAAAAGTCCGAAATTTAATCTAGTATTGGCGGAATTCATTTTCCATTTTTTGAAAAATGCTTTTTATTCGAATTGAAGTTTATCTGAAAGGAGATTAGAACTGAACCCAAAATAGAGTTATTATATATATTATTACAGACAGCACATTGTACTATCTATTGATGCAATAAACTCTTTAATGTTAACTGGCTTATAAAATTACCAGCAACGTTATTAGAACTTTTGATTAACCCTAAGAGTATGCAGATGTTTGTGTGAAACTTTATTTTTGATTTTATTGAAAGGTTCGGTGCATAATATCTCTTATGATACCTTTAGTATAGCTAGCCCGAAGTGGCTTGTTGCGAAATCAAAAAAGGTTCTGATTTGGTATCTGCATGAAGAATCTTTTTAGGTTTCGTAAAAGAGCCTGGTTTTTTAGAGTGTCGATCTACTTTCGGAAGAAAAGAATTTCATAGGAATATATGATAATGGAAAATTCGAAAGATGCCTTACACGCATCGTCTATAAAATAGAGAAAATAGGTGGTCTACGAATGTGTGTATATTAATGACTTATTTTAGATACCCCATTAAATAAAGAGGAGTGTCATTAGATATGGATTAGAGTGATATGTATTATCTTTCTTTGCATTAATACTTCGCCTCCTTCATGTGCCGAATAACATGCTTCCTTTGCTAGATACCCTAGACTCCGTTATTAAAAAAGAGTAAACTTAATTTTTTTTTCAGGATTCACATTGGCATAAAAAATTCCATAGCCTCCTGTAACTATTTTGATCAATTGTATTTTTCGACTGGAAACTATTTCTTTCACCCGAAAAAATCAAATATTTAGATGATGGGAAAGTGTTTCAACATTTGTGAAAGCTGATGCTAGTCAAATGTTTACTCTTTTAAATTACTAAATTTTGTCGAGAAAACATTTTATTTCTCTGCTATAGATTAGTATCGATTGAAATATTCTATCATGAAGAATGCCAGCGTTTTCATACACCGAATAGTAGTCATTTTTGTGCTACGTTTTGTGCTTGTCCGTGAGTATTAATAGTTCGATTTGATCGTATTTAGCACATTATCTCAAAGTGTTACTCTTCCTTCTTTTCCTAACTAGTTACGGTAAAAACTACCCCATACGTCATTAATTGGTCAGGCTATAAATGGTATATTGATCACAATATGGGTGCTGGTTCAGGTATGCTTCCACTTTTGGATTTAAATATTTACTTGTTCACGATGTTATTGTATTTGTGACAGCTTCAAATAATTGGAACGCTAGCAATGCCTGGATCGACTCAGCAAACAGGCTACATCTCAAAGTGAGTCGTCCAATGACTACAGGCAAATGGAGTTGTGCCGAAGTGTTTTCAGATGCTCACCTTATGTATGGTACATATAAATGGAAAATACAGGGAAGAATTGATCAATTTGATCCTAATATTGTATTGGGCCTTTACTCCTTTGGTGGTCCCAGTGGATCGAATGAAATTGACATCGAAGTGGCTGCATGGGGTGAAAAAATTCATAAGCCATTTAATATTCATTATACGACTTATCCAGGACACTTGAATGCCACAAAACGTATATCTAAAAGCAAACGATTCGACCTTACAGGCTCTCAAACCACCCACTGGTACACGTGGACACCAACCAAAGTCATCTTTGGAAGTCAACATGGATTTCATGATACACCAACCGTCCAAAGGTTCTTCGCCTATGAGACACCACGAAAATTTGCTAAAGACATGCCAAAAACACCTATACGAGTTCACATGAATTTGTGGTTATGGGGAGGCCATGCACCGATGAATGGTAAAAATGTCGAAATAATTATTAAAGAATTCTCATTTACTCAACAATGAAAAGAAACTCTAGCTTTGTATGCTGCTATTAACTATTATAATTAACCATCAAAATCATTAGACATAGATATTTTGCATGTAAAAAAATAAATGATTGGAATCATTACGAAAAATGGTCATACGCTTGCATTTAGAGGAATTTCTTCGGATGACACATTGTTCAGAATTCTACAAAGAATACTGACAACATTTGGTTTCGCTACCTGTCTCGAAATGTTCTCGATTTCTTGAGAAGTGTTTCTTATTGTCCGTGATTTCTGAACTCAAGACGATTTCAGAACCCAGTCATCAGTCAGGGTGTGGGCGTAAGTAAATCAATACGACACAGATCGATTTATATTTCTAGAATACAAATCAATCTTCTAGTCTCAACTTTTGCTTTTCAGCAACCGATTCTCTCTGTCAATAATAATAACAAACGAAATCAATGTGCTTGAATTAGAATTAATTTAAAAGAAATGCAGAGTTAATTTTGCCGACGTGTTTCATGTTATTTATTAATATATTGAAACACTCATCAGGACTCTGCATTACAAATAGAAGCAAAAACTTTAAAAATAAGAAAAATAACAGCAGAAACGGCTAGATCGTAGGCCATATCCAGTTGGCATCACAAATATTTCATTCGAATGATTCATAGAAAAATATTTACGAAAAAGAATTTATCAGAAGCATTACGTAATTTATTAATTAAATGTACTTTTGTAAATTTAAATAGCATTATTTCGAGTTTGATAATTTTAAATGAGTATAATCGTAATTTTGCAATTTAATAGTTGTAAATGATTGTTATTCTTAGAGAAATTTCAGATCATTCTATTAATACATTAAATTTATTTTAATTGACTTATACATCAGTATGACTGATTCAACACCTAGTTTAATAATTTCTTCAATACTAGTAAATTATTAAATAAACTAGTTTGGTGAGAATGAAGTCAGACAATTAATTATTCTATTAAGTCAACCATATATGGAATACTAATAATTTCATATGTGTAACATTGGTTAGCGGATAATTAGTGCCTAATTAGCATAGTTAATATTTGAACTCAATAGAATCTCAGTCAGTCAAGTTTTGTCCATAATTACAGAAACTAAATCCTTTAAAGAATGTTGTTAGTTGACCATACTTGAATCAATTGCATCGAGAATAACCAATATCTTAAGTTGATTCAAATTATCAATATTAAGTAATTCAAACAAAATATTTGAATTTCTAGCTGATTTCAGTTGTCTTCCATCCGATGCGAGCAATGTATAAGGGTTTGTATTTATTATTTGTAGAATACTTGAATATACTAAATTACCAATTAATTATAAATGATCAGCTTAGGATGTGGGTGTGGGTGCGTGAAGAGAAGTTCAGCACTCACACTCGCACACCACAACACCCATACCCACACATCTACACCCACACCCTAAGACTATGACAAACTACCATACCAACATGAGCCAAATCACTGGTTCCAAAAGTTCAGCTTCCTTTCATGTCTATTACGTAGATAATTGCTTAAGCAGTTCTTTAAATACATGAGGAATCATGAAAGCAACATTAACTTTAGTCAAGTTCTGGCTCAGAATACAGTATTTCTGAGGATAGTTAGCTTTTAGAGTCTGTTATTTCACTATTCCAAACCTACTATTATGAATCCCGGAATCCTTTTGCTTATGGGTGACATGCGATTCTTCTTATTAGCTAACTAAAATTGACTATAGTGAAAATTGATCCCGAACGTTCGGGTTCGATGCATGCCTAGTACTACCTCGACCATTCTATGATTCTTCATGAATTCAGCATACGATTCTGATTCTGTTTCGTTTCAGACTTGTAAATCTACATCATCATCATCAGTAACTTGTTCCTCGAATCTTTAAGATTCCAATTGCGTTTTGGAAAAATCATTGTTGAAATTGCTCACGCCACTGAGTGAGTTGCCACTTTCCTCTATGTCCGTTTGTTCAAAGAGCACGTAAGTTGTAAATTTTGATACACGTGAGTTCAGTTTATTATTAGTATTTTCTCGGCTAGGATGATGTATAATCTCTATATATATATGAGCAAGTTGGAAAAATCCTGGTTACGAATTATGAATTTTTCTAAGTAAGTAGATGTTCTAGAACTCTCTATCTGAACATATATCACCGTAAAATTTTCGTCTTTTTTATACAAATGAAAAGAAAGGGTGAAAGACAATACTAGAGAAAGAATATGAAAGAAAAAACATTGAAATATAGTTTGCAGTATGCAATACAAATTCAAATACGTCATAAAAGTCATCATGATGAGGCTGCTATGGTTGTTATCTTTTACGCATTTAAAATGTATGTGAAAGTTTTTCTTGTTATCACATCTTAGTGCAGAGTCATTTCTTGACATGCATTTATTTTGCTTTCTTATCGTTATTTTATGCTTTGCTCAAGCAAAACCTAATGAGTTTACGCCACTGGAACTTTGGAATTTGTTCAAGCACGTCCATAGAAAACAGTATGTGAATGTTGAAGAAGAAAATTATCGGTAAGAAAGTAAATTAGGATGGATAATATTTATTTTATTAAATCCTGTAATCATTCTAGTCGAACTATTTTTGACGACAAAGTTGCCATGATCAACCGACACAATCTTGAAGCTTATCTGGGTCTGCATACCTATACACTCAAAATTAATCAATTCGCTGACATGGTATGGCTGTGAATCGTTTAGTTTCCGACACAAGCATTGATTAAGATTCCTTAGTTCTATAAATATCAAAAGCGTTCAGTTGCGATTCTACTTTCATAAATTTATAGGAGAAATGGTTTTTCTAAAATACGTATACTGTTTTTCATATTTAGACACATGACGAGATTGTACGAACCATGTCGAATAAATTTAAAACGAGTTTATCTACAAAGATATCAACTAAATTTGATCGACACATATTTCTTCCACCATCAAATATATCAATACCAGCTGCTGTTGGTTAGTATCTTTTAATTGAACTCTTCTTGATAAAATGTACTTATAGATTGGCGTAAGAGAGGCGCTGTAACTTCAATAATTGAGAGTCAAGGTCAATGTGCTTCAGACTGGGCTTATACAGCAACGGGTGCACTGGAAGGGCAACATTTTCTTAAGACGGGCAAACTGGTCCGACTTTCAGCTCAGAATCTATTGGATTGTTCGGGTAAATTTGGCAATCAAGGCTGTAATGGAGGACTGGTGAATGCCGCATTTCAATACATCAAAGTCAACAAAGGTGTGGATACAGAAGCAAGCTATCCATACGAAGCAATAGAAGGCAAATGTCGCTTCAATCGATCGACTGTGGGTGCAACTGATATAGTAAATATTACACAAATGTCATTTTCTTTTGTATTCTTTTTTTTATTCATCCTATAGGGTTTTGTTAATATTGCAAAAGGAAATGAAACAGCCTTACAAATAGCTATTGCTACTGTGGGTCCAATCGGAGTGGCGATTGATGATTTACACGATTCTTTCTATTTTTATTCATCAGGTGTTTATAATGAGCCGGCATGTTCAACTAAAGAATGGTCTCACACAATGACTGTTGTCGGATATGATACATATAAGAATGGTACGACGAAACAGGATTACTATATCGTAAAAAATTCTTGGAGTGATACATGGGGTATGAATGGTTATATCTGGATGAGTCGCAACAAGAATAATCAATGTGGAATCGCGAACTGGGCCAGTTATCCACTTGTTTAGAAATGAATATTTCGTTGTCTTTTTTCTATTCTATGTTTTCTTTTCTATAACGGTATCAACAACATCAAGAACGTCGAATATAAAACCATGATTGATCACAGAAATCATTAAAATTATCGAAAATAACAGTGATTATGAAAATATGAGTAGTTATTTTTCATTGCCCCTAGAGAGATATATGCAGCAAAGTCGAATCTGCGCTATCACTATTTGCTTATAGAGACTTAACTTATCGAAATATTATCCTTATACTATTTCGTTTTGAAGTTGGAAAACAAAACAGATCATGATACTCAACTAACGCACATCATTGCTCACTGTGTATCCCAAATTCTTAGAGAGATCTAAACTATAAATACTCTTTATAAGTAAAATATGAGCTTGGGTGTGCATGTTGGTGTCTATGAAGAGAAGCTGACCCATATCCACATCCTCATTATTCTGTTGTCTCAATTTTTGAATTGAATCGAATTAATAAGTATGTCCAATTAAGCACTCAAATATTTCCTATGATTATTGAAGAAATTGGTATTAAATTACTATGTGTAATTCGCTATATATTTGATGTTGATTGTTCATTATATGATATAGCTATGATAGCGAACACTTATTTTCAATAATTCATATTATAATCTGCCGAAGGAAGACCAGAAGAATCCGTATGATACACAAATCGTTTCTGAATGCAACAAAATTCTAACGATTACTGATGAAATAAAAAGAATAGTTCAAAAGCTTAAACCGAAACAATCTACTGGTGAAGATAATATCTGAAATTTTATGATTGAAAAACTCCCTCCAGCATATTCAGAATGTTTAAGTAAATGTTTCAAGGATTGGATGAGTTACTACCTATATATTGATGACTGGAAAACTTAAAATTATTAACCTCCCCCTCACATTAAAAGACCCCAGGCCTTCTAATATGTTTGAGCATGTAAACTGTCTAGGTGGGTCTTCTAATGCGATTTTCATGAAAAATTTTTCAAAATTTTTGAAAAAAATTATGTTACATTTTGTATTGCTGTGTTCGCAAAAATTACGTTTTCAAACGAGTGCTTATGAGATTATATAATCATGAATCGTCATGTGCTTATGTGACTTTTCTCTTGTGGATGACTTGTTCTATGAAACACAACATAAAAGATCTGTTAAAGTATATACGGAAGAAATTTGGATCCACTGCCCCTATAATCCCCATAAACATCATGACGGATACCCTAAAACATCATCGAAAACCGTGGTAGACACAGAACCTTTCCCCGTGCCCGCTACAGACTGCGGTAGACTTTGTTGAATTACGATCAAAGATCGAATAGTACTAGCATTCTATCAGAATATATAAACTATTTCCTCTTTGCAATTCTAGAGGATTAAGCAAAGAATGATGACCAAATATGTTCCACAATAAATCGAATAAAACAATTTTCATGTGATTATTAAAAACAGCTACATTGTTTTTCAAATTTGACTCCCTTAAAGATTTCGCCAGCAGCTTTTTCTAGTATCATCGAGACAACATTTATTCGGTTAAATTTCTATGACCGTCTTAACTTTCGTTTTTTGAATATACGTTAATATTTACCGAAGGACCCAGAAATCTGTTAAATGTGTTGAAAGCATAGAAATGTACATATGTGTACCAAACAAAAATTACAAGCTTTAGATCTGAAAAAACTTGACAGAAATCTGTGTAAAAAGTAGACTATATGAGTGGCATATAGTGTACTTTCCAGCGAATCGGGTCCTTATCAGCAGTGTTCAGACTTCCGAAAAAGGAAATTTCGGAAATTTTGGAAATTTCCAACATTAATGTTTTGAATTGTTCAGTATTTCCCAAAATGATGTAATTTCCGAAATTTCCATAATTCTGTACTTACCGAAATTTCGGAAATTAGTGAAATTTCTAAAATTTCTGAAATTTCCGACACTGTTAAAAACTTTTGATTTGCATTGCCATGTAGTTTTCAAGATTGTGGAAGTTTCAGAAATTTCTGTAATTTCCTTTTTCGGAAATCTGACCATACCTCGTCCTTATTCATACTCACGAAAATCATGCATAAAATTTTAATTAAATTAAAGTGATAATTATAAGTTACTACGCCAAATTCCGATAGTATTTTTAACTAGAGGCTTATAGACTCCTACTAGTAAACGTAGTCATTTTGATGGTTTCGCCCAAGCACGAATTATTGCAACGAAAGAATCGGTAAACAGTCGAAAAGCCCCCAATGAACATATGAAATTTAATGTTTGAACTTATTGCTCAACTCTTTTTTATTGAGACTAGTATAATCTCGTTTTAGAGTAACAAAAAATATATATTGAGATGTAGAGAACGACAGTATTCAAAAAGGCGCGTGCAATATCACGCTTCTGTCGGTTCCCTTCAACCGGATAGAGAGTATTTCCAAATCATCGGACGAGGCTGACAACCTTTTGCAGGCATTGTTAGATTCAAAAACAGAAAAAAGTTTTTGAAAATTTTTCTGGGTAGATTAAAAACTCGGGTCCTCTAATAAGTTTTTCAAATTTTTGACCAAGGGGAATCTTCTAATATGGGGGTCTTCAAATATGAGGGGGGGTTTACTATTAAGTACTATTGAAAGTGTGAAAAATTTATTTTTCTGTATTAGTATCAAAAGTACTTAATACTAGATTTTATTTAAGAAAATACTATTAAATAATTTTAGTATTAATACAGAAAAATAAATTTATTTTTATTACTTTTTTACACTTTCAATAGTATTTAAGAGTACTTTTTAATCAATAAGTATGGAAAGTACTTTAAAAGGTTTACTTATAAGTAACTTTTCTTGTTGAAAACCTGCCTTTGAAGGTACTTAATAGTTGGCTTTTGCCTACTTTTTTTTAAATGGGTATTTCACACTGTCATTATATAGATATTTATCAAAACAATTTTATAATTTATTTTGATACATCAAGACTATTTATTGGAAGAATAAATATAGAAAGACAATTTCCTATTGTCTATTAAACCTCTCGAATTAAAGTTAATGGAAAAGAAAAAGATTGAATTTCTCACAATTAAACGAATAGTGACATTTGTTATTCACATTTCACGAAATCAAAAAAATTTGAACCAAAAACTATTATTAACATTAAAACTGCTATATGCTCAACCTATACTCGTTATTTATAATCGTTTGACGGAATTCTCATTATTGCTATCACATTTTCTAACAATTTATATACAAATATATAAGTGATTCTGATGTCTATTGTACCGTTTTTTTTGAAAAAGTCACCGAAAAAAAAAAGTAAACGGCTGCACTTAAGAGTATTATCAGAAGATAGAATGCTTCGAAGTATAAGAAAAAGTGGTTTTGCAAACTACCAGTTTTTTCGTTAGATGTAGAAATCATTCTCCTTAAATCAGCTTTCACAAAAGATTTTCAAATAATCAACTTGGTCAGCTGATTCTTATGGGTGTGGGTGTGGGTGCAGGTGTCGGTAATCTGTTCATCCATACGAACACTCACACCCACCCACACCCACACCCCACACTGATAACTCTAATATGTCTAGAACGAAAGAGAACAGCAGTGTCACTGATGTTATGTGATAGAACGATGAAAAAGATGACCTTCATGAGGATCGAACCCACACCTCCTGCTATCCGGGCAGTTGTCCTAAGCCAATTAGACTAGAAGGTGCATCTTAATCATCGTTTAGCGTTAGTGTGATCCATCACTAACGCCAACACACCCACACTATATTCTATAAGTCTTCTCACTTTGTGTTCCATAAAAAGTGTAAAAGATTGATACAAATAAGAAAATCTCGTTTTCATTCGACTCGATTTGACAGTATTTCTACTCGGATTCTCTTCTGTTCAGTTCGTACCGGAAAAAAAAGAGAATTCCTTCATTTTTGTGAGTAAAATGTATCTACACCCCACATAAAGTTTTATTTAAGCTTTTGCCTGTCTATACTCTAAAACAAATGATTTAGAGAAATTTGACAGCTTCAATGAGAAACTAAAGTACATCTTAGAACTTCAATTTGTTAACATGAAATAATTTTTTTTTTGCTGATAGTTTGCATAATTAATATTGTTATAAGTATCATCTGCTTGGAGAAAGACGCATATGTTAGAAAAATCAATATGCAAACTTTTAATTTTAGTTGAAGTCTATATCAATCTCCAAATCTGTAGAGCAGTTAATAACCCCTAAACTTAGTAGAATCGGTTCCAGAACCGTTGAATTAGAGAACAGCGATATTTAATTTTTCAATCAGACTTTTCAAAGATAGTTATTATGTCAATTAGTGAATGAGGTTATATTTCCATATCAGTAATAGAATTCTATCGATGTGTCGACTAAATCGGTGTAAAATATTTGCAGTTATAAATACCACACGAGAGACTGAAAGCTACCAGGTATGTGGGAAGAGGAATAGTCATGAAAGCACTTGTACATGTATTCTCGCACAAAGAAATCGATACAGTTTTCAAAATCATCAGATACAAAGAACATGATCCCTTCATTGAAGTAAGCTTAAGGAAGAGATTACTGTTGAATCAAATTGTCGATTAATTCGATTCAGTTTTAGTCTCTGATGTAGATTTTTTTCCTTATCTACGCCTACACTCTCTATTATTATCTGATTGTCTATATATATCTGTTTTCATAAAATTTCAAAATGAGTACATTCAAGATTTAATTGATTATTGAGTGTAAAAGAAGACATCAATTTATTTTAATAAATAATTTGTTTTTATTTCCATTGTAAATATATTTTATCAAGATTACGTTTAATTGAATAGTCATTAAGCAGTTTTTCCGAGTCAATTATCTTTTGTATTTTTACAATCATTTTCTGGTCTGCTGTTGGAAAGTGAAGACACAATAAATGAATAAAAAGAAGAGACTTAGTTCTATAACTCATCATAATAAAACGTATCACCAATTCAATATTTACATTATTTGTACATTCAACTTGTAAAAATTCCAAACGTTGACAAAGATTAATGATAAATTGAAGTTGTTTGATTTCTATCAACTTTTCAAGATTCACTCTTGTAATTTTATTATTAATCGATATTGATTGAAGTTTTGATTGTGTGTCAGCTGAAATATTCACTTCTAATAAAGGTAAACAAGACATACACAATGAATTAAGATTAGGTAAATCGTATATGAAATGAATAAGTAAATTAATTGTTGAATAACGTAAATCAATATTCAAAGAAGTAATATGTACGAATTGAAATAAAGATTTAATATTCTCAATAAAAGATTGATATTGTTCGAAGTCACAACGATTGGTTGCCATTAATTCGACATCTCGAAAAGATGAAGTCAAACGAGATCGATTATTTTCTGAATTAATATCAATAGAATTGTTTTGTTGGTTCATATATTCATATAAATGATACCATTTCTTCCTAAACTTCAAAGAGAAAGTAAGATAACAAACAATTTTTCTTTTGTTTCATTACCTGTATGAATGAATCGAATATATTATTCGATTATTAGAAAAAGGTACTGCATCAATTTGAATTTGTAGATACCACTGTCGTTGGATCCAAAACAATGATGTAAATTGATTAATTTGTTGATGATGTGATTCTAATTGAAAAACATTAGGAATCTTTTCATCATATTCAAATTCAAATTTGAATAAATTTGGTAAATACTGTAAAATCAAGCTTTGCCAACGATTAACATCAAGAAACGTTATGTTATCTGACGTAGTAAAATGTAATACTTTTAATTGAGAGCCGATCATATTAATCAATATTTCAAGTTCAGAAAATTGTAAATGACATCGATGAAAATTAACATATGTTAGATAAGGTAATACAAGTGTTCTTTGTGTTTGAATACATGTAGTTGAACTATACAATTGTTGACAAGTTAAATGACGTAATTTAGATGTATATGAAAGCAGAGTAATTAATTCATTGAAAGATATAATAATATCGATATTTAAATATTCAATAAAACTATATTGTTCACTTGTAGCGATTGGTAATGTAATAGGTACTCTCCATGGGCCGTAGGATAGCAAATTATATTTTAAAAAAGGTAAACAAAAGATCAATTTGTAGATCGTATCAAAAGATTCCAATTCACCAACGACAGAAATATTTAATGAATGAAAACATGGTAAAGAAGCTAATTGTTTAAGAAGTAATTGAAGTTTATGTTCAACAATACCATTGATAACAAGTGATTGTAAATGATTAAATAATGAATTGATAGTGATTAATTTTAAAGATTGTTTAACAGCTGTAGTAGTTGACAACTCGAGTAAAACAAGTCGAGATTTATTTTGATTGATAATATTCTTACAATAATATTCAATAATGAATTCATGTTTAGAATCAATGTTAATTTTAAGAGGTAGAAAAGATTTTATAAGAAGATTTTGAAAACGAGTATTAAGATTTGCAAATGATTCATATAAATGACATCCATCGAGATAATCAAAAATAGCATACAAGATTTCATTAGATAAATCTTCGATAGAATGAATTATTTTTCTAAATCAAATTGGAAATACATATACATGAAAACATAAAGGAAAAAAAAGGAAAAGTTTCTTTCTTACTTGTTCTCATTAGTGACTACTAAAATGAATAAAAACGAAAAAAATGATTATTAAATATTCAGATTATCTTTATCTACTTTGTAATAAATTGTTTTCTTTATAATCTAATTCATGAATATAGAGTTGTTGTTGTCTCTTTGAATCCATAATTTAATGAGAATGGATAATACGATTAAATTAATCCACATAATATAATCAAGTAAATTTGTTGACTATATGTCACCTTTCTATTTATCTAAAAATACTACCACAATCAAAATAAACGACAAAAATCTCATGTGTATATTCTATGTATGCTGTATTAGTAAACATAGTTAATACTACTTCCTCCTCTATATTTTTTTTTATTATTTGTACCTGAGATTTGTAGCAATTTTTTAAATGTCAACTTACGAAAGCAAAAGCGTCGTTGAGTCATTCCATCATTGGAAAGAAAAAGCAAAACAAATGACGAAAATATATTTCATTCTTTCTAGGGAAAAGAATATCTCATATCAGTCATACGTCTTTAGAATTATTATACAGTCGAGTCCGCTTATAATAGCGCAGTCGGGGTTTCTAAAAGAGGCTCTTATATCCGGACCGCTCCTTTATCCGAACTATATGTAAAACAGTGCAAAAATTGTTTCTTGTCAACATTTATTAAGTAGTACATAGACATACATAAATTTACTTAAAGAAAGTCGTGATTTTACTTTGAGTACGATTAATTAAAGCGTTCTTTTCGATCATGTCTTCGATATCATAATATGAATTATACTCTGTAAAATTCTCTTCCAAATACTTGCGAACCATCGAAAGATGCATCAGTGCATCTTTATGAGAGACACCTAGTATCGATTCATAAGAAATTCCGGCTTCTTCTTCTAAATCGGCCATTCCTTGTCGATTTAGTTTCACTGAATCGCAAATTTCGTCATCCGATGTTGAAGTCTTTAGCCACATCGTCTGGCTTTTTCGATTTCAGTGCTTCCAAGATTTCCAATTTTTGCTCAATCGATAATGTGCAACGTTTACTGCTGGTAGATGCCATTCTCTCAAAAATGAAGCTTTAACGAAGTTAAATATATATCACCTTTTGGATGGATGAATATCTGATCCCTTTATTGAAGAAACAGCAAGTATATATACATAGGAGAGAGACAATAGACGGA